CTTAATTTTTTGTAGCCAGCCTGGTGAGTATTCACAGCTCCCTTCAATTTTCAGCTCATCACAACAGACCTTTGCTTGCTCATGATCAGCATACCACTTAGGGGCACATATTCACTGAAAAGCTGACAGATCCACTTTTTACTGAAAGGCATCCATTGTCTCTTTCAGTACATGATCAAGGTCTTCATGTTTAGTTTTATGCAGTGTTTTCCTAATTTTTCATTAACTTTGGTTCATCGCTTTCAGCATAAAACTTGTGGTTTATCCTTCTGTTTCTTCAGGTCATGTATGGTGGCCATTCCAACACTATACTCCTTGGTAAGATGTTTCACACTTATACCTCTGTCCAGCTTTTCCAGCAGCTTCACTTTCTGTGCTATGGATAAACATAAATGTTTCCTCTTTTTCCTGTCACTGTCACCCACAGGGATATGTGTGGATGTTTTTGACATTTTTTTTTTTAACAGTAGTACAAACAGTACTGAAGTATTTATACTACAGAGAAGAGAATAAACAAAAAGCTCACAGTGACAGTAGCCTCGTATGGACATCTTGAGGAACCGGACCTTGGCACCCAGGGCCCTCACACGTGCCGTTCCAGTGGGGGCGTGCTTCTGTGGGAGAGTATGGGGGTGTGCTTCTGTGGGAGAGTATGGGCGTGTATACAAAAGATATGCTGCAGCTGAAGGCGACGTGGCAGGTTTTTTCTCCCTTGGAGACAGTGAATACGCTGCATGCTCTATGCTTGGGTCTTAGCTGTATACCATCACATGAGGTTAAGTGTGGGATTTTCCACTGTGGCATCCTTCTGGTGCTCAGAGTTTTAGGTGTTGGAATATTCTGAATCTCAGATTTTCAGATTAGGAAGGATCAACCTGCCAGCTTGCCCTCTCCTGGCGCTCTGATAGCTCCATCTTGCCACCAAGTCAAACAAGTACTTCTAAAGTGTTCTCCAACTCCATGTGCCTTCTAATGAGATGGCTATGTCCAAACTGCCACTTATAAGCTCAAGGTCTGTTACAAAATCTGTTATTTTTCTATTCAAAATCGTAACATATTATTTTCTCTAAATCATGCATTTATTCATTTAATAAATATGTAAAGGTTCTGCTTTATGTCAGACATTAGTCTAAGATTGGAGACTATAATATGAAAAAAAGACAACAACTCTCATCCTCTTAACATCAACTGTCAATTAAGGGCAAAGGTGCTAAAATGAGTAACTGGAATTAAGTAACAAAAACCTAAGAAAGCTGGAGAGAAGAGTGCAAGACACAAGTGAGTTACAACTTTAGACCTTTAAAGCACATTCCATTGGCAAGGTAGCATTTGGAAGAGAGATGAAGGGAACTGTGGACAAGGTCAGTGTGGCAAGAGTAGGGACGCTGCTCTTATACAAGATCTGGGCAGTGTGTTCGAGAACAACAATGGCAGCCAGTGTGGAGAAGTGGATGGCTAAGAGAAGATAGTGCAGAAGGCGCAGGCAGGACTGCGAAGCTCTAAAGAGACAGGAGGTTTTAAAAGTCATGAAACAATACAGCAATCAAGGTGAAGCCAATTTGTATTTTTTTTTAATAAGCTGGCTTGTAAATAAAAGATGAACAAAGTGGGATAGTA